ATTTATTGTATATTTTTTTAAACTTGTACTTTGCAAAGCAAAATGGTGAGTCATTCTTTGAAACATGAACGGCTTTTTGATCAAATCAAAACTTTAGTCTGTAGTGATTTGGGAATGTTACATAGCTGCTTATTACACATGTGCTTATGGAACAGTTAGAGCATTTTGTGAGAAGCTACACTTTGGTATTTCTGTGACGCATCCATTGTGCCTTGGTGTCTCATAATGGTGTGTGTAAGCAAGGACATGAGTTCAATAAATATATGAAATTTGTCTATTTTTATCATAATTTCTTCAACATACCTGGTGTCTTTTTTTCCTGAATAAAACAATGGAATCTCAGCAAACCATCACATCAGCACCTGCGGCTTATAGTGTGTGTGGTGAGATTAGGTTAAACTTAACTGTCATTGCACAGAGTACAATACTGAGACATGTGGTTTTGCATTTGCATATGTATAGTGGTAAGCAGATATAAATACACTATGATAGGTATTAATAGTATGGACAGTATGCAGACGTGGAGCAGTTACAGGCAAAATATATAGTGCATGTTTTAGTACAAGTAATGGCAATTACTTGTGACCCCCTGAGGCAATGTCTACTTGTCATAGGTGTATTACTGAACAGGCCTATGGGGCCCAAATGCAAATGGAACCCCTAAGAAAGAGCATTTGTGTGAAGTCACTATGAATAACTTTTCATTTCTTGTCAGAGGGCTCAGTCGTCATGTCAATGTCAGAGCCCCGGAAGTCCTAAGAAAAGAAAAACTGAAGGAATAGCCTAACATTCACTTTGAAGATGTCATAAAAAAGAAACTTTTATGATACAGTTTAAATTAGTGTTTTTATCCCCACAGTTTTCCTACAGGACTTGACATGTGCTGAACTGGCCTCTAAGCAATATGGGATATTCAACTCTGTGGGGATTGAAACAACAGCATGTTGTATTTGCCTGAGGTGGGACCTTATATGCATCGAGGCCAAGGGGTCCACTGTGTCACAATTCACCTATGCTACTTGTAACCCCTCCTCACAGGCTACTGTCTTAATTCAGACATGAATAATGAGCAGTTTGAGCAGAGAAGGACTTTTAAATTTTTAACTTGATGACTTTAGGGCCTTACTAGATGAAAATATTTCCTACAACATTAAAACATAAGTTGAGAAAGGTTAGGGGGAAAAAATACAAATAGATTTTTAAGTATTCCTGCATCCTGTGACCCTTAGACTTTTTGGGGGGCCACTGCTCCATAAAGCGAAGTTAATTGTTGAAGTGTGAGTAAAGTCAGATTTGTATTTTTCAACACATTATACATGTTAGAGAATGTGAAAAGTAAACTAAATAGTACTGAACTGTGGAGTTGGAGTGGTCAGGTCTGTGGGTTTTTTTTGTGTAACACTGCCCTCCTGTGTAGATAAGAGGGATAATCTATTTATTGTCTGTTATTTTCCATGGATTGATCATACTGAGGAATTGAGTTGTGGTTCATTAAAAAGCAGAAAGGGGCTATAATGTGAATAAATTAAATAGGAAAAAAATCGGATGATATTTGCCGTTTTAGGGCGTTATCATCCTTTTATTTCTCATCCTTTGCCGTGTTTCACTACACGACCCAGAATGCATTGTGGCGCAGTTCGAACGTGACGTCACGAGCCGGAGAAGCCGACAGCCCCATATCAAAAACAAGCAGCTAAGTTGCGTTAGCTAGCTCCCTGTCTAACAGCAGACAGTTGGCCCGCAGCCGGCTGGCCGTCACTTCAACTTTTGGGAAGCAACTTTCAGAGCAACACGAGTTGTTGACCGCAGTTGGACAAACCGACACCCACCTCAAAAGGTAAGAAACAGTTTTATTGAAATGTGCACGCGAGCGCACTGTTCTGCCAACGGCAGCCAAAGCTAACGTTAGCTTTGTTTTCTTTTTGATTATTGGCTAGCAAGCGCGGCTAGCGTTAGCTTGCTAGCAAATATTTAAAGCCTCAGCTGCGCAGTATGCTTAGCGTGTATCCCTCAGCGCAGGAAGCTGGTTTTAGCAGAACAAGTCACACTGTAATGAGCAAGTCGTGTTGAAGAATGCTGTGGTTAGCTGTTGTCTGAAATAACTGAAGTTATCGCTTCATTATTGTCTTGTTTCGGCATTTTTGCACCCCCCTCCTCCTTTTCCTTTAACTAACTGAAGTCATGGCGTGTGGAGCCACCCTGAAGAGGACCATGGATTTCGATCCGCTGATGAGCCCTACTTCCCCTAAAAGACGAAGATGCATCCCCGTGTCCCCATCGTCCTCATCCTCATCCCCTAGGAAGTATCTTAGCATGGAGCCTTCGCCATTTGGGGAGTCGTCGTCAAGGCTTAGTGCAGGTAATGTTGGCCAAGTTGGCCTGCTTGGTGACCAGCCAGGGGCTTGGGAGGCATTAGCAACACCTTGAACCACACTGATAAACAGGAAAACAAATATGCTTATCAGTGTGGGGTCCTGACATGGCAGCAGTTTTGTCTTCACCAACAAACCTCTCACTGTTTTTTACTTTCTTTTGTCCCCCCAGAACAAATCCTCAACAGCATTAAGCAGGAGTACAAACGCATTCAAAAGAGGAAGCATCTAGATGGAGGCTACCAACAGTCAGAGTGCTGCTATTCTCCAGAGTCCCCATCCCAGTCGTCTACTATGAATGTTTCCAGCATGCCAGGTTGGTTGAGTAACACACTGCCTACAGGAGAGGCTGCTCCAGAATTACCATGACAGGCACCCAGAAATACCACACGCGCCTCGATTCTTAGGTTTTTCTTTTTTGATTTGTGCAGGAACGTCCTCTGGAGGCGTTTCTCCTACTAGAAAAGAACAGCCATTATTCACTCTCAGACAAGTTGGAATGATCTGTGAACGCCTGCTGACAGAAAGGGAAGAGAAGGTGCGGGAGGAGTATGAGGAGACTATGACTTCAAAACTGGCAGGTTGGTACACATTGAGCAAGTTGTTGTGACTCAGAGGAACACAAATCAACCTGAACCTGAAGGTATCCAGTTGCAAATCATGGCATTTGAGAAGCAGATCATGTTGATGTAGGTCACAGTTAATGCACTTATCTTTGCAGCACTAATATAGTTGTTTTATTGTGACTGTCAATAATGAGTTTCATACTGAATTCCTTAGCTTCCCTAAGTTCCCAAGGTACCAGAGCTCAAAAATTATGTCCTGAAGTGTCTGAGCAACTGTCAAAAGGAAAGTTATGATATTAAATGTCTTTATAAAATGAGCAAAGCAACCAAATCCTCAAAATTGTGACACTGTAGCAGCATGTGCTTGGTATGTTTTACTTCACAAAGCAAGATTGACTCATTCCTGACCACAGTAAATATTATCAGTGACTAAAAGTGACCGATACCACAGGCGTAGATTTCGGGAGGGATGCAAGGGTCACGTTTCTGTCAGTATTTAGAACATGTGCATTTGTCTTCCCACCCTAATAAAAAATTAAAGTAGCAGAGGACTTGTATTTTGACAAAAATATAGACATTTTCACCGTAAATTGATGCAGAAAAGTTACAAATTTGTGCATAAAAATTCCCCAGATTCCTGTGAGAGAACCCCAAACCCCCAGTTTCATGTGTCCCTCCTTCCCAGTGTCGAAATGAAACCTACACCCTTGATCTGCGCCACAGCCAAAAGTCTGTGGGAAATGATAACATACGAGACAAGTTCCAATAATGCACACAAGGCTTCACATTTAGCTGTACAATACTAATCCTGATTTCCTGTCCTGTACATTTCAGAACAATACGACACCTTTGTGAAGTTCACACACGATCAGCTAATGCGACGATTCGGGGAGCAACCTGCAAGCTGTGAGTTCCTTCATCTCATCTTAAATTATTTCCACATTCCTGTCTCAGACGCTGGATGTGAGAAAGTCTCGGATCTTGGCCCGAGCTCCGCCTTTTGAAGTTTAAAGTAACAAGTCTGGTTTCTGTATTTTGTTTCATCTCTCCCTCTTCTCCAGATGTTTCCTGAGTGTGGCCCAGAAATCTTTGCAAGACGGCCTTCTCTTGCTGCAAGCTATCATGTGATATCTCAAGTGAGGAGAAGACGACGAAAACTAAAAAAGCTCATCATTGTAAGAGATTCAGTTTAGCAAGTTTAAATGAAACTTTTCTTACTGTGCCATATTTCTGTCTTTGGGCAAAAGGTTTATATGAAGCTGTTGTCGGTTGTTACCACTCTGTTGTAAGCAACTAGGTGCTTCCTTATGTAAATGAATGGACCCTATCTCTACCAGTGGCCTATGTTCCTCCTGCTGTACGTGTATCTACAGTTATCTCACTTTTGTAATGATTCCCAGCATTCCAGGCTTTGTCACTTGTTTTCTGTTTGTTACATGTAAATAAGATAAAGCGGCGCAAGAGTTTTACTTAAGGTTTGCTGGTCAATCTGAGAGGAAGTGGAAGAAACGCAGCAGAACAGAGAGGATGTGTTTGCAGTTTGTCCTCTGTTCATTGCTTTTTAAAATTGAGCATAAAGTGGGCAAGTTTTTTTTTTGTTCTCCCTACCAGTGTTTTATTTATTTTGACTTTTGTTTTGCTGGTATCACTTTGAAACCAATGTACTTATTGGACAAAAACAATAAAAAGTCTTTTAAAGAGTTGAGAATTGTTGTGCTATATGTTGGACATTTCTGTGGCTATATTAAACGAAGAAATCCTTTTCATATAAAGATGTCAGAATCAGGCTTTTTCCTAACGATCTTACTCAGTAAATGACAACTCCTGCACAGCGTGTCCACCCCTGTAATCTTTATTCATAGCCTTTATGAAAAAGAACTCCTTTCTTTTAATTGACTACACTATGCTTTGGGTCTAGCAATATCAGCTCTATGATACCAAGTTAAGTTTCAACACTCTTAGCACTAAGTTTCTTGGAACACCCAGTACCTGGTGATAGAGCGGCACAATGCGTTTTGCTTAGTGCACAACTATGAATACAAAATAAACATGCACAGCACCGTGATTATCAGAAACTACTCCCATATATTTTATTAGAGGGAAATACACAAAATGTAAATCCATTACGAGTGGATGAGAACTTAATTGAGGTTCGACAGCAGCCACAGATAAGGTATATGTAAAAAGGTGCGTGTGGCTTCTCAGTGTTTGGTCAGCAGCCTCCCCAGGTGAGTCGAGCCACGTGGTCAGTCTTCTGCCTGGTGGACTTTATGAAGCCCAAAAATTCGAGCTCAGACACAGCTCGGATGAAACGAGCGCTAGAGAACACGCTAAGGATCAACATTTCTCCATTAGGGTTATACTTGTTTCACTGTCATTCATACTGATCGGCCGCAACATCAAAACCACTGAGAGGTGAAGTGAGTAACATCGATCGTGTCGTTACAATGCCGGAAAACCATTGGTGCTGGCGTTCATGTGGATGCCACCTGACAAACACTGGTCCAGACAAAGTACACCCCTTCATAGCGACGACTCCCTAGTGGCAGTGGCACCCCAGCAGGACAATGTGCCATGCCACACTGCAGAAACTGTTCAGGAATGGTCTGAGGAATGTGACAAAGAGCTCAAGGCTTCGACCAGGCCTCCAAGTTCCCCATATCCCAATCCGATCGAGCATCCATGGGACATGCCAGTACCCCAGAGGTCCTGTGTCTGTGCCCATGTGTCTGGGTGTCAAGCACCAGGGCGCTGGCGGTGGATCTTCTGAGTCCTGTGGGCTGCGAGGTGGAATGCCAGTACATCCCATGAATGCTCGATCTTATTGGAATATGGGGAATGTAGAGGCCGGGTTGACACCTTGAGCTCTGTCATATTCCTCAGGCCATTCTTGAGCAGTTTTTGCAGTGTGGTATGGTGCATTATCCTGCTGGAGGGGCCACTGTCATCAGGGAGGCCGATGGGTGGGTGGTGCATGTCAATTGGCATTCACATGAATGCCACGACCTAAGGTTTCCAAACAGAACATTGCACTGTAACGAGATGTTCAGTGTTATTCACTTTACCTGTGGTTTTAATGTTATGACCGACCACCTCGTCTATCATGAACCACCATCATAAGAATTAACTGTGTTACATGTCCTTAAAAAATTAAGATAGGGTTCTCGCAATCAAATCATCACAACATTAAGCGAGTATGAAAATGGTGGGATAGTGTGATGGGGAAAAACATGTTTGCAGATAAAGGATACTGTTTGACTTCATCCACTTTCCCGTAATTGTCAGAATCTGGGTTGTTACCCTCAGCCGCAGAGACAACAGTGGCATAGGCCTAAAAACACAAACACAGGTTTCATGTCAGTATCAGGTCCATTCTGGGCTGATATTTGATTTTCAGATCAATAACGTGACACATTGATCCGATCTGGAGAGGAAAAACAAACTTCCAACCATCAAACTTTGCAGGGCAAAGGTGCTGTTATTGTAGATAGTTAAAATCACACGCTGTGTAAACATCATCTTGTTTTCCCTTAAAGACAGAGGTTGGTGTAGTTGCATTACACTATCAAATTATTAAATATATAAACTCACTTCCAGCCAGTCGTAAAGGTTAATCAGCCTGCCGCACTCAAGATGGAGTTTGTATGCAATGCAGATATCAGGAGCAGCGTTAGAGACGGTCCCATCCTCCGTCTTTAGGCTTTCGTTCTGGAAGAGGAGTCAAACAGGGAAGAGGCTCCAGTCAAGTTCATACTTATCCAGATGACTTAAATCAAATTCCATACTTTTCCATACTGCGTGGGAGCCCTGCAAGACAGTTACACACTTGATAAGAAGAACAAGAAGAGGCACATGTACCTGGAGATAATAGTAGGGACTGTTGAGTGCAGCCTGGATGGAGGTGCGAGGTGTTGCGTTAAGGTGGCGTCTCACAGTAGCAGAGGAAGTGTAGTAACAAACTTCATACAGTGTCTGAGACTCTGGGGGAGACAGGTGACTCCTGGGTGGGAGAGAGGTATCAGTCAAAGAAGAGTTTCTACAATGTTTATGTAATTAATTGCATAAGAAAGGAAATGTGTCTCACTTCACTAAGCTGTCGATAAACTCGAGAGCTTCGTTTCGTAGAGCCTCGAACGGACTCAGCTTCTTGGACCTCCGAGTCTCGTTCATCTCCAGCAGAGTCTAGATTAAATGAAAATTATCTGAGGATTCATGGTTCAAACACATCAGCAAGGGGGAGAGTCTATTCGCAGAAATGCTGTAAAGATTTAATTCTTCACAAAACTATAAAAACCTTCTGCAGCTGGAACAGGTCGGTTTTCTTTTGAAGATGTTTCACTGGAGAGGTGAGACTCTCTTCCACGCTGGGGGGAGGTTCAGCAGCTACTGCTGTTGAGAACAAGATGAAAGAATGTCAAGGAGTGTTGCATATTTAATACCTACAATTATAATTATTTGACAAAGGGGTGAACACACAGTTAAGGAAAGTAAGCATCTCTAAACAAATTAATATCGTGTGTGTGCTCTCCTTCATTTTATCCACTCACTGTCCAACTGCTTAAATTTGGCGAGCATATCCTCCAGCTGGACAAGAGCGCTCTTCATTTTCTTTGCTTTGGCAGCCTGCAGAATCTCCACACACTTCTGTAGCAAAGCGATGAGCTCGTCTTTAGCCAGCATCCTGCAGGGAAAGCACAGGAGCTTTACAGCTGAGCATGGTGACTTCAGACTGGGTTGTTTTTCGACTAACATGCAAATGAAAAGCCAGTGTCAAACAACAATACAAACAATGCTGCCTTACTGTATCATAAAGGCTATCTGGCCACCAGGAGGAGCAGTAATCATCAAAATACCCTTGAATATGCTGCCATCTAGTGGTGAAATGTGTCAATAAGGTTGGCTGGGAGGGAAGTAAGACATGTTTATGACAAGACATCAAAACTAGAGGACTTTAGGAGCGTCTTCAAACACATTTGTTGGTCTCACTTGTTAACAGGTTTATTTTTGTGTCATGCACACCCAAGTTCCCAACTCACACGGGTTTACCTGACACCCAAAGCGCAGTAGCAGTGGTCGCTGCATAATTACAGCTTATTTAACAGCTCGGTCTTAAAGAAAATAGTCTGCCTTCTCTCCCGAGCTTGGCAAATAAAATCTGCTATAAAATGTTCCCTCCCTGGCGCACAACTTTTTTTATAGTCATCCAGCCAAAAGAGATCAACATAAATGGATGTCATTTTACTAAAAAAACAAAAAGACATCCCTTATGTCCTTGCAGACAGGACAGTAAAACAAAAAACAGACCGCTTTCCCAGTTTCATCTAGCTCACACTCTAAAAAGTCCGTCCTCCTCTGGAGAGGCATTAAACTTGCCACTCTCCTGGGCTGATGGTTATGTTCCTGAGCTTAACTGTGCACACAGGGAGCTCTGTCTTTTGTTTAAATTACATTTCACATAAAGTTCCACACTGCAGCTCTTCTTTATGGGATGATAAGTTCGTAATTAAGGTTTCTACCATATATCACAGACCATTCCCTCCATACATGAGAACATTCCGCTCCTTATCACCTGAATATTATCAAGTAACCTGTCCTGGAAAATGAGTGACAAATCACTGACCATGTGGAATATCCCAATTAAATATCTCTTTACGGTCAGACATCCAGACTTACTTCACGAGTTTCATGGCTGACTGATAATCCTCGTTCTCCCATACATTCTTCTCAAGACATATTAAATGGAGCTCTCGTATCTGTCACACACAAGTAATTCAGTGTTAAAACAAACCAGGAACGAAAAACTGACGCCATTAATTCAAGTTATTTTGCACAATTACACAGCAGCACTTTCTTGCCTGTTTTCCGAGGGGGTAACGAGGTAACGATGATGTCAGAGTGTGGAGACACCTCAGGACGGGATAATAGCACTTGTGGTATTTGTGAAGGTCTTTTATCAGCCTCTGACACACCTCCTAATAAGAGAAGAAACTTGAAGCATGAGATTCTGTCTGAGTATGTGCACTCATTGCTGTCTACTGCCTCAGGTGAAGAGATAAAACACAGAATGTACCTTTAAATGAGCGTCATCTGTGAACAGATTCACTTGTTCCTGAGCTTCTTGCTTCTCTGCATACCTACAAAACATATCAAAACAAAAAAAAAAAAACACAGGTTAGACTTGATTTAAAGGCTTAGTGTCACATTTGAAAAGGTGAATCAAACCCTACAGGAAGCTACTAAACCACATTAAATAACATAAGTCACCTGTGTGTTCACTGCTTGAGTTATTGCACATGTAAAAAAAACCTAAACTGTGCGTACCTTTTGAACGACGGCAGCTGCCTCATCCTCTCCAAGTCGAGGTGACTGAGCTGCATCACATTAAGCTGAGCCTCCTTCTTCTTACAGCACAGTACGCTGAGAGGCTGACTGTGAAAGTGCTCCAGCAGGGCCAGCTGCACCAAGACAAAGCACAAAGTTTGTTAACTATAATGTGCACATCGGAATTAAACCTACAGACAAAACAGACGACCGGTGCAAACAGAGGATGACACTGATAAAACACATACTGGGTACAGTATTTAGAAGCTACTCTGTACCTGAATGCCTTTGATGAAGTTCCTCACTGAGAAGTCGTGGTAGAGGAAGATGCTGATCAGCACCTGCATCACTTTACCGTTGAGCTTGAAAGGGAACTGAGATGTCAGGATCAACTGGAAACAAAGACAACTTAAAAAAAAATGCAATGAACCTCCTGATTTCATTTAAAAGCCGACACAACAAGAATTTCACTAAAAAGAAATGTGCAATATAGCGATGGATTAAATTTTATGATGTTGGTGATCGTGTTATTGTGTCTAACGCTTGTATATGCCCAAGTGGCTAAATCTCTCCCTCACATGTTTAAAGACTTACTGAAAAATGTAAGCATCCGTGATCAATAATACAGTTGAGAATTCAGTTTAACATATTCTTTAAAGGGTGTATTGTTCTTAATTTGACTGCTGAACACAGATCTAAACACTGAAAGAATCTTAATATTGCAGATGCTTTATGAAGTAAAAATAAAAGTAAAAAACCTGCAAGTAGGGAGTTCTCTTTCAAAAATTAGACATAAGAAAATTCAGGTCAAACTGTTTTACTTGTTATAATGTCTTCATGACTGTAAAAGTTGTGCAATGATTTAAATAAAGGAATACTTAACCCCCCAAATTAGATTTTTATATACTTTATTAATCCCCCTGAGGGGAAATTAAATTTTTTCACTCTTTTGTCATTAACACACAGGTCCGACATACACACACATGCACAAACAGGACCTATACATGGACAAAGTGGAGAGATGTCAGAGTGAGGGGGGCTGCCTTGGTCAGGCGCCCCGAGCGGTTGGGGGGTTCGGTGCCTTGCTCAAGGGCACCTCGGCAGTGAACAGGCAACCCTCCAGTTCCCAACCCAAGTCCCTATGGACTGAGCTACTGCCGCCCAAATTATCATTAGTCCATCCATTATCATTGAATTCATGATCATAACTTAATCCAAAAACTCAACCATTCTTCATGAATTGAAGTCACAGCCCACATTTAACAACACTATATCAAAACATCAGTGTATAAACTTTTACACAACTTGTGCAGTATAATTAGAAGTCCATGAACTCCATGAACAAAATTAGTTGCTGGTCTACCGCTGCCTCGATTGGTAGTTTGTTTGTGTTATTGTGTGACTGGTGAATCCAAACTAACCATTTAAAACAGTGAAGTCACACAATAATACAAACCAGCTAACTGATTGAGGCAGTTGTAGACCAGTAGCTCCTGTGTTCAGTTGCTGTTTTTGACAGTGGAGTCTGGCTTTAAAGAGAGCATCGCTAAGTTTCACTTTCAGATCAGCTCCCTGTCAGAAAGGTCTGTCTGTTTGGGAAGTACTGAGCATAATGCACGACAGATGGTTATATTAGTTTTGCGGCAATATTTTTGCAAGCGCACCGTTGCTGTGGCACTGCCCAGAACGATTGTGATTGGTTGACAGAAATACAAGCAGCCAGGGCATTTTTTTCTCCAATCTTAAAGTGAGAGTCGGCCCAGTCAGACCTTTCTTTTCTTGAGAAAGGTCTGGTGAGCGAGACTGTGCTGTTGTTAATCGCCAACCCCATTTAATTCAATTCATCATGAATTTTCTCAGGTTTTTGGATTCTTCGTTCACTGGAGGCACGCTAGAAAAGTTTTATCCTAAAGTCAATGTAACTAACTGATATACAAATGGTCATTTGAGGGGTGAAGTACTCATTTAGGAATAAAACCTGTGTGATCTAAAAGTTAACACAAAGTTCTGGAAGCTCCTAACATGATATGACTGCTCTGTGTCTGAGAGTGACAAAATACCTTGTCTATGACTGTGGCCAGGTGCTGTGTACAGGAGAGGGACTGGAAGAGCTCTATACACAGCAGGGAGGACACAGAGTGGGGCAGCATGTGTTGGATGGTGCTGGGTGATGTGGCGATACCAAAGATGAACATCAGCGGAAGACGTTCGATGTACCGGCTGTGGAGGAGAGAACATGTACATGGAGATGCTGTTGTTACAGCTTAACAAGGTGATAGATGAACTTTTTCCTTCTCCAAAGTTTGTAATTACCTGCAGATGAGTATGAAGTCCTGAAGAACTCGTGGGTTGAAAGCCTCCAAATCTTTGAAAATAATCACAACGGGAGGCTGCTGGAGATCATCTCCATCAGAGGAGCTACGCTTTTTTCCAGGAGTACCAGATTTCTGAAATACAGAGAGAAACTCCTTCAGGTGATCAAACTCTTTTTACGCACCAAACTGCAAATCTACAATAATGTACACTAGCTATGCTTCATGGTCCAGCCCACCTTTGTTTTGGTATTGTACCAATCACAGAGTGTACTGAGGGAGCAGTGCACACTCTTGTGAAGCTGAGCACTGGTCGGCTCAGCCTCCTCCTCTTCCTCATCGTCCACACTCACAACAGTGTCCATTAACCTCTCCAGGACCCTCTTCATCAAATGCTTCAGTGCTGAAATGATGAAGCAAACAATATAAAGACTGCAAAATAATAATTAAGCTGCTTCTATTACTACTCTAAGATAAGAAGATGTGATTCTTCAAAATCAAAGACAACATGATCCTGAGTCCCTCACCTCCGCACTCTTTGGCCTGTACAGAGGCCACATGAGGAGTGACAGACTGCTGAAGCAGCTCAGACAGACTCTGAAAGGTCATGTCATGATCTGGGACATTCACACCTGCGGAGAATATCAAAGGAGAAGAAAAAATGTGTGACTCTAAGTTAGACTGGGCGTCAAGAAACCCTCAAAAGTGATAGAGTGCGGGAATTATTCTTTTCCGTTATATTCTAAATTGTCTGTTGTTTGGATAATCAGCCAGCTCATGTCATATGTGACCGCCTTGTCAACAACATACCGAGCACAAGCGCCGCAGTGGGAATCTCACTCGCCCTCATCTGTGATGCCCAGTCACTGTGTAGGCGAGTGGAAGAGCACTTCCTCGTGAAGTTGAGCAAGCTGTCCAAGATGTTCCTGTTGAGCTCATCCTGCAAAACCTTACAGGCAGCAGAAAAAAAACTTGTTTAAGGTCTGATGTGCAGGATTTAGTGGCATTTTGCAGTGAGGCTGCAGAACTGAACCTGTGTAACAAGCATGTAAGAGAACAACAGTGGCCAACGCAAAACCGCTTATTGACTCATCTAGAGTCAGTGTTTGACTTGTTAGTTCTGGGCTACTGTGGCGGACTCTGTGGAAGAGGACCCACTCTTTATGTTGATATAAACTCCTAATTTTAAGGTAACAAAACCACAGTGATTCTTAGTTCCAGTTGTTTTTTCACAAACGAAAACATAGTTATGAATATGATATTCCGTTATTGCCAATAGATGCCCCCAAACCCTACACAGTGAACCTTTAAATATTTCACTTTTTTTAAGGTATTCAAATGCGTAAATTAATATTTTAAGGCCATGTTTACCATCTCCTTTAGAAGGTTTTATTCCAAAATTATGCACTGCTAAGGTTGCATCTCTCACGACATTACTAGCTTGGAGTCTGGAGCAAGGAAAATACATACAGAGTCACAAAATGAACAAATCACACTTTAGTTTTTGCACAACAATGTTCGGGCATGGAAATAGCTTTGAAACAGCTTTATACTTTATTACACACTTGAAGCTATTAAAAACAAACCCATTGTCCCCATATGAGGACATCATTTAGTTCAAATACTACTTTCTGTTCAAAGACAAGGCTTAGTTTTTCAAACATATCAGACCCTACTAATCAAAAATAGCTAGAAGAAAAATGCATATCAGCCAAAAGCTGGGGTCTCAGGAGGATATGTGCTATGCTGCTGAGACACAACTAATGGGTTCTGCAAAGCTGCAAAACATTTGCCATCAGTTAAATGTTTCTAATGTATAAAACTGTACCAAATCATGGCAACATTATGTGAAACAAAATGCTGTTCAGGTTGAATATTCTTACCTCCGTGTTTGTTTTGATTTTGTCCCACAGATCCTGACAAAGCTTGAATCGCAGGTCACTGTTGTCAGCAGCTTCACAGCCATGGCTAAAATGATCCTCTGTAGAGAAATGACACACAGGGGAGTGTAAGGTTAGGACACCTGACAGCTGACAGCTCCAGTGAGGATACTCCCCTATAAACATGAGCAAAACTCACCTAAACTGAGCGTCTTTTTCTTCTTAGCACTTGGCTTGAACACAAAGCAGCCCTGAAATATCAACAGTAACAGTAGCAGTTAACGTTAACTATGAACAAAAACAAAGAAACTTAATGTGGCCATGTTGTGCCAACTGCCAAGCTAGTTTCATGAGGTTTATCGTAACATAATATTAAAATATGACGTTACCTTGGACACAGATGAAGTAGACATCTGAGCTTTAGCTACACGCAACGACTGTTTTATATTTAGGATAGTTCAGTCGGTAACTTTGGCTGCTGTCTGGATAAAAGTAAAATATTTCTTTAAAATGCCGGTTATGCCGTATTTAACAAACTAGCTACTACTTCCCGCCAATGTGACGTTTACGGAAACGGTTGTGTTCAGCTAACAAACGGTTACGCGCCTGTTCATAGCTGTGACAGGTTTTATGTTATCGAGCATGATAAAAACTGTCATAATAACCACAATTAAAACAACAAATGCGACTTCTAAGTTTTTACCCTCACTTAAACTTAATGACGTTATTCCTCTCCCTAGGTATAAAGGCGCAGGACTTTTTGCAATATTGCTGATCTTGAACACCCCCGACCCTTCACAGCATCCCTGTTGTCCCTGCCTCTCCACAGCTCCAGGTCAACTTCCTGTTGTAGTGTTCATGTAAAGATGATGCTACTTATACAGTTATTATGATAAATATACAATACTAGTAATTTAAGTAATAGTATTAAGGTTTTGTTTTTTAATATAAGTATTAGTTCACTTTTCAAATGTAATAGGTCGGGGACTGTTCGTTACCTCAAGGGTGGTACAAAATGGAGGTTTTTCAAATAACCTTAAGCACTGAGGAGGGACACACGTTTTTTGGCTAAAGGGAGGGGCATACAAATGTAAATGGTTGTGTTAATGTTACCACTGATTTTTAAAGAAAATTTACCTGCTGAAGCATGTTTTCTTTTTTTTAAAAAAAATCCCAAATTACATCATGTATCATAACCAAAAACTTTAAAAACAAGTATTATAATTGGATGTTCAAATTTCTGGTGGTCCCTGGGTATTTCATGTGCAATGAATGCTTCTGTCAAAAAAATACATCACCAAATTTGAGCTGAAAATAGGCCTTTCAAGGCCTTTCATCAAAATTACTTTACTCTAGGTCTCATTAAAATTTGGAGAGTAAAAAGCCAACGCTTTTTTCAACTCCAGGATTTCATCCTCAACTTTTAACTTTCAAACATCAAAGACTAAGTTTTAAAAGTCTACTCAGTAATTTATGGTGGAGGGAGGGTTATGCATTTTACTGTCAGGTGTCTGTACAAGCTTGTTAGGACATGTGGTACAATAATTTCTTTGTATAGATTTCTGCTGGTTACAATGCAGATGACATTAGGAATAAACTTTAATTTAAGCTAGACTACTGCAGAAAGTTACAGAAAAGTGTAATTAATTTCAATGCAAATTAAATTTAGTAAACATGACCAGCAGACATGAAGATTATTTTAAGTGATCTAGTGTCAGTGTTTTATCAGAAATGCAACAACTAAATATACAACATAATGTCCATAACTCTTCTGTTTTCCATATGAAAAGCTGTGGATTAATCTAGGAAGCCCGAGGAACAAATGTACTCTATGGAGAAATAATGCTGTAAACAAGTAAACTATCAGGAAGAAATTGCCACACAAAAAGATCTGCAGACAATATTTTACAAAAAGAACCAGTAACATTTTATTGAACACTTTGTGGAAGACATGTAAATATTACAGATAGGTCTACTAGTGTTTAAAAAGGATGAAATAAATACAAACAGAACTTGAAATCCCATAGGGATATATAAAAACATAGTTTTTCTTTAAAAGTCTCCATTTAGCAAAAGAAAAAAAAAACATCTTCAGTACTAAGCATAAATACAAACATGTTTCTAAAATCTATGCCCTATGGATTACCTGGTTATTATAACTAACATACATACTTAAAATCATCCAAGACATTTTTTCATTAGGTACAAAATAGGCCATTTCATCGTTAACTGTGACCATTAATGTTAACAGTTGGAAATCTGATGCATTAACAAACAAACCATTCTGCAGCATAACTTCTCAAATCCTGAGTGAGGTCGAGTTGAAAACAAAATATCGGGCTATGATCCACTATAAAGCCACTTTTTTATTATGACCATGGGCTTCATGTCTTGTAGCTGCTTTAACAAAAGATCAGCACCGTCTGAAAATGTTTTATCCATGACAATCTTGACATTGCTCACCGATTTGAGATTTAGTGGATTTCTGAAGTCTACCAGATTTTCACATCCTTTGATTTCATCTTTTAATTTACCTTTTGTTGCAGATTTCTGTTTTTGAGTTTGTTGTCTCTTGGACGGCAGTTCAGCACTAGATTTTTCGTTTAGTTTACGTTTGGAAGTGTGGGTCGACTCTGAGGTTTCCAAGAACTTAAGGAAAGAGTCCTCAAGTCCTAAAGGCTTGAAAGACCCTGGCGTGACTGCGTCGTCACGTTGTTCTTGGGCTGTGGGGGTACCAGGATTTGAGTTCTCTCTTGAACTGTTAACAGTCGTACGATTCCTAAGGGTCTGCATCCTCTCCGGACAAGCTGGTGTGGGTTGTGTGGGCTTTCTGGGACGGCCTCTTTTAATTCCTGCTTCTGTCCCGGTGGAAGCTTGAGATTCTGCACTGTCGTCGTTGGACAGCTTGCTGTCTTCTTGGCCTACTATTCGTTCCACCAACTCATCTGTTTTCTGATCACTGGGCTTTTCGCCCTCATCTGGCTCCATCTCCTCAGAAGAGCTGGACGCATCCTCTGTTTTGCTTGTCTCTTTGAATCGGGCGCGTGAGTACTTTTTGCAGAAAATGAACTGGCTCCTGTGGTCTTCAATGTATCTTTCTGTGAGGCCATGAGTGGTGTAATGCTTAAATATACTTCTCTCAGCCCGCTCCACTGCATCACAGCCTATTATCATGCATGGGTACTGCAGTGCGGACTTCTTGGTGCACATGGCTGATGCCTCATCATGTGATTTTAGTGTAGGCTTTCCAAAACTGGTCCAGTGTTCCATGGACTTCCCGTCTTTCTTTTTAGTGTTTTTCTTCTTCACTTTGAGTTTGTTTTCAACATTCTCTTTCCCGTTAATTCCCGGGAAGAGCCCTACTGATTTAGTCCGTCTTCCATCGCTTGCTTTGGGATCATAAACATATTCGTGCTTTTTTATCAGGTGACGGAGGAGGTTTGATTTAGTAGTGTAAACACGATCGCATCCCTCATACTCGCACCTGAAAGTCGGATCAACTGAGCCACTCTCAGAGATGGCGATTTCCTTGTGGAAATTTTTGATGTGCTCGATGTACTTTTCCACAGAGTTGAAGGGGAGCGCGCACTCTGGCCGGTCACAGTTGAAAGTCCCCATGGTCATGCTGGCCATCATGGAGGTGGCTTTGTCACGGGTGAACTTGTGAAGTAAGAGGTAATGCTGCACTAACCTTGTGATTCCCATGAACACCCTGGAACAGTTTTTCACTTGACACCTGACTTCATCACCTTTGTCTATCCTCTGATGGATCTCCGGTGCATTTTTTACACCGGTCTTTTCAGTCTCAGGTTCAGGTTTGCTGGGAGGCAGAGATGCCTGATGCATGGCCCTGTAATGGAGAATCAAGTTCTGCTGGATGGTGAATGCGGCAGTGCATCCTTCATGAACACAGCGATATGGTCTATATGGACTGTAGGCGTTGTCTGTATCACACATTTTGAGACTCAACTTTTTCTCTTTTCTTTCCCGTTTCTCTTTCCTCTGGTGTTCGTCCTTTGTTGGTGTGCTTTTGGAGCTGCCTGGTTTCTCTGGGGAAGATGAAGCAGATGCAGTAGGGCTGTACATCGGCTCCTTTACTTTGCTAAACGATGCATCTGATCGTCCTTGCTGCTCCTTTGCTTTGCCAACCGGACTGAGCTTCTCTTGTAAACTGGATTTCTGTTTCACATCTGGACTCTTGTTTACAACAGCTACTTGAGGTTGCTCTGGGGCTTTTTCAGTAACTGACGTTACCACCTCACCTGATAACCTATCCGTCACATAGTTTTGAGGTGGTGGTGGTGGTAGTTGTGCGACAATTGATACCTCAGGCATGGAGCCCTGTTTAACTGCATCTCCTGGTGAAGTGATTTCGGTAACTTGTGGATTGTTCTCATTGTCTGTTTGAGGTGCGATTGCAATGTCAAGCGGTTCTTGTTTTATGGCAGGTAATACAGCTGCAGACTGAGCTGCAGATTGTGTCGTGCGGTTGGAGTCAGCAGCTGCACGGCCAATTAAACCGTCATCCTTGTTCAGTCTAAATGCACGCCTGTTTCGAGCACTGATCCTCAGCTTCTGCATTTCTGCCTTTGATAATCTGTGGACTTTTTCATAGTGAATTCTCAAACCTGTCGTTCTTGTGAATGTTTTGGGGCAAATCTGACAAGGATATGGAGACAGTTTGGATGGGGTCTTTTTAAGCTCTTCTATCATCTCACTGGAGTAATCGTGCATTTTACTCAAGTGTTTGAATAATGCCTCCTTTGTCATGAATGAGTACTCGCACTCATCCTGGTCACATTTAAAAGGTTTCGGTACCTTTTCAGTGGGCTTGTCATCACTTTTACTCTGTGTTTTACTAGTTTCGATGTCACAGGCCGTTTCACAATGACTAACATTTTGCTCTAATGCCAGAGCACTCCGCATCTTCCCTTGTGCAGCCTCAATCAAATCTAACCTTTGGAAAGCATGTGATATTTCCATCAAATGATCCTCATTATAGGGTACAGCAAGGGCTGAATTAGCCAGCTCTCCGGCCTTTTGTTGCTGGTTTTCAGGGGGGAAAGGTACGGAGTCTGAATAGTCCATTATATTTGTATACTGGGGCTCCTGTTTCAACACCATGGGTGAAGTTAAAGTGGTCAAGCTACAAGATTCCTGTGAGAAATCACCATTTGACATGCTGAATACTGCTCCGTTAGTATCAGGGACATGGGGATCATTGAGAAAATCAAGGAAAGATGTTGGCAAATCAGCCGTTAGGTCGATTTCATCTACAGGCCTGCACTGTGAGCGTTTAGATAAGTGACCTCCTAGAGACTTGGTGCTTGTAAACTCTCTAAAGCATCTCCTGCAGATGACTTTACCATCCTTAATAATAGCTGGCCATTTGGTTCTCTTGCTCAACCTGCTGCGTTTTCCTCTCTGCGAGTCAGGGTCAGAGGGGGTGGCCTCACAGTCAGCATTTGGACAGTCCTCTTCGTAAGGGAAATCTGTGTGAATACCGCTGTTTGGGCTAATCATGCCATCCACGGCGTTGTCCATCTGTTCGTAACAAGGAGTGGACACATTCTCTGTTTTAATTATTTCATGCGTAGCTTTTAATGCAACCTGAGCCTCTGGGCTCAAACATTTCATGGGAACATCGACTAACGAGCCTTGAGTGAGACAAGAGTTTTCACTATGAGCATATGGAGTGTGGTAACTTCC